GAAATGTTTCAGCCATTTTGGAGAGCAATCTGGAATTACGCCCCAAGTTTATTAAACTGCCTATGCCCTTTGATCCAGCAATATCACTATTAGGTCTGTTTCCCAAGGTAATCAGGGAAAAAGGAAAAGAACCTATATGTTCTAAAATGTTTATAGCAGCTTTCTTTGTGGTGGCAAAGAACTGGGAATTGAGGGGATGCCCATCAGTTGGCGAATGGCTAAACAACTAGTGTGTATACAAGCGATGGAGTACCACTGCACTGTAAGAAATGATGAGCTGGTCAATTTTAGAAAGACGTGGAGAGATTTGCATGAAATAATGAAAAGTGAAGTGAGCAGAACCAAGAGAACGTTGCAGACAGTAACAGTAATATTGTTCAAAGAATAATTGTGAACAATCAAGTGGTTCTGAGTACTATAAATACTCAGATCAACTATAAAGGACCCAGGAAGGAAGATGCTATCTGCTTGCAGAAGAAGAACTGATAAATAGAAGCATGAATATTATGGTTCTGCATGTATTTATAAATCTGCATCAAATGGTGGCCTTCTGTGGGGAAGGGTGAGGAGGGAGAGAGACAATTCAGAACTTGAAATGTAACAACAGAAAGAAAACCCAATGTTACCCAATAAACAAACAAACAAAGGCTCTGTTCTCAAAGAGCTGACATTCTAACAGAGACAACTTGGGATAGAAGAACTCAAGAAATATTGGGAAATGGTGGCCAGAATAGGGAGTTTCTTTTTAGGTTTTCACAGTGCCTTTGAATGGAGTCTCAGGATTAAAGGTTGTCACATCCTTTAATTTAAATTTCTGCAAGTCAGTAAATTTCTGAAAGTCAGTACAGATTTAAGCTTTAGTAACTTAAACTTTTAAAAACATTTTAAAAATTATTTATTTAGTATTTTATTTTCTCCCAATTACATGTAAAAACAATTTTTAACATTCGTTTTCAAAATTTTAGTTCCAAATTCTCTCCCTTCCACCCCCTCATTGAGAAGGCAAGCAATTGGGGCCCTCTGATTCCAAATTTGGCCCTCTTTTCATACTGCCTCTCCCAGAATCCAGGGTGTCAATGAAGGATGGGATGGACAGTATCACTGGAGCTTGCTGGTAGAGAGAATAGAGCATCCCCATCCTCCCTGGGGTGGGGAGCTGCACACCCTCCTCCATCCTAACCCTTTCCTTATGGTCATCCAATTCTCCTTAGACTCTAATAAACACAAAATAGGAGGAAAGGCCCCATGCATAGCATGGGGCTGAGTAGCAGCCAATGTCTTCATCTGGAAATTGTGAGGGATAATATATACATGTGCAGTCATGCAAAACATATTTCCATATTAGTCATGTTGTAAAGGAAAACATAGACTAAAAAAAAAAAAGAAAGAAAGAAAAATAAAGAAGGCAAAAAAAGTAAGCTTTGATCTGTGTTCAGACTTCATCAGTTCTTTCTCTGAGGACATGTAACAGAGTTGTTTTGGATTGTGGTGTTGCTGAGAATAGTAAGTTGTTCACAGCTGATCGGCTCACAATATGGTTATTACTGTGTATAGTGTTCTGGTTCTGTTTATTTCACTTTGCATCAGTTCATGTAAGTCTTTCCAGGTTTCCCTTATAGCACAATGGTATTCCATCCCAATCATATACCTCAACTTATTCAACCATTCCCCAGTTGATGAATATCCCCTCAATTTCCAGTTCTTTGCTACCAGAAAAGAACTGCTATAAATATTTTTGTATATTTCTTTTTTTGTTTTTTCTTTTCTCTTTTGTTTTTTATCTCTTTTGGGATACAGACCTAGTAGTGGCATTTCTAGGTCAAAGGGGATGCATGGTTTTATAACCCTTTGGGCATAGTGCCAAATTGGTCTACATAATGGTTGAATCAGTTCACAACTCCATCCAATACAGCATTAGTGTCTCAATTTTCCCGCATCCCCTCCAACATTTGTCATTTTCTTTTTCTGTCCTATTAGCCAATCTAGTACCTCAGAATCGTTTTGATTTGCATTTCTGCAATAAATAATGAGTAAGAGCTTTTTTTAATATGGTTTTAATTACTTCATCTGAAATCTTTCGACGATTTATCAATTGAGGAATGACTTTTTTTCCTAAATTTGACTCATTTCTTTACATATTTGAGTAATGAGGCCTTTATCAGGAAACCTGCTTCAAAATTTTTTTTCACAGTTATGGTTGTTAACTGTAACTTAAACTTTTAATATCTTAAACCTATATAGAAACTTTTGGAAGATCTTACATATGTTGTAAACTTCAAAGTTTCCAACACACTTCCTTTATTGTGAGGTAGGTAGGCATGCAGGCAGCTATGATACCCATTTCCCAGATGAGGGAATTGAGGCTCAGAGAGGTTGCTTGGTATAGTGGAAAGAGCACAGACCCTGGCATTAGAGGGTCAGGGTTCAAATTCTACCCAAGATACCTATTTTTTGCCCCCCTGGCCCTCAGTTTCCTCATCTGTAAAAGGAGGAGGTTGAATCAGATGGCCTTTGAGGTGCTTTCCAGCTACAGATCCTTTTCTCTTAGGATCCTGTATAGGTGAAGTTCCTTCCCATCCGTCACAGAGCTATGAAATATTAAGCTGGGATTCTGATTCCAAACCTGGCCCTCTTTTCATACTTCCTCTCCCAGAGTGCAGGGTGTCAGTGGGGGATGGGTTGGACAATGTCACTGGAGCTTGCTTATAGAGAGAATAGAGCATCCCCATCCTCCACGGGATGGGGAGCTGCGCTCTCCTTCCCCGATCCTAGCCCTTTCCTTATGGTCACCCAATTCTCCTTAGACCCTAATAAATACTAAATAGGAGGAAACGCCCCATGCTATGCATGGGGCTGAGTAGCAGCCAGTGTCTTCATCTGGACTCTTTAGAAAGGAAATTGTGAGGGATAATTGTTCCCCCCCACCCCCTGCCCTTCCTCCTCCATTCTTTCTTCTTCCCTCCTCCAAGGGTCTTACTACTGAATGAGGAATTGTTCTGTGTCTCCCAGTGGCTCTGAATGTTGTCGTTTGGGGTCATTGAGGGGCTCTGAGATGTGGGGCCAGGGGGGTGGGGTATGACCCTGGAAGGGGCCTGAATGGTAACTGTTCCTTTTCTTCTCTTGAATGAGAGGCTGTCCTCAGTCATAGTGGTCATGGGTTTCCCCTCTGAGAGAAGGTTGGGGAGGGCTTGAAGCCTGGAGGAATGAGGCCTGGGGAGGGCCCCTTTCCCATCAGATTGATGAATGGTGATGAAGCTGACAGATGCTAAGATTCCTGCCTCCTTGAGGCCTTCCCTCTTCCCTGACCCCTCCTCTGTGCTTTGTTTTGGGTGTTCCCTCATGGAATGATGCCTTATTGGAGAAGGGACCTGACTTTAGGTTTGAAGCCGTGGAAGCAGAACTGGAAGACCAGAGTAAGAGCCTAGAAAGACAGGGCTCCCTGCCTCTGGGAGCTAGACGGAAAAGCAGTAGGATGAGGAGAAAGCATCGGAATTAGATCCCGTCTTTGAGTCCTCCCATTGCTAGCTATGTGACTTTGGCTAGGGTGACGTCAGATCACAGAGCAGGAGGGGTTTTAAGTACGTCACCCCCTGAACCTCTGTTTTCTCATCTGTAAAATGGGGACCATAATTCTGTCACCACCCACCCAACACAGAGATGGAAAGCAAAGTTCCTTAACTGTGGCAATGGGGTATTATTATTCTTCCTCCCTGGTCTTACCACTGATGGACAGTAAAACTTAAGGGAGTCACTCTCTTGTCCCCCATCCCTTAATTTCTACTCATGGAGAAATTAATATAATAACAATATTATATAGTACTATAATAATCTCTGTCTCCTTCCTTCCTCCCTCTGTCCTAGCAAGATTGAACATTATAGCATCTAGGGTGTGCTTGGAGCTCCTTGGAGGGAAGGCACTAGATAAATATGTACTATTATTTCTTCTTCTTCTTCTTCTTCCTCTGGCATAATTTAATTCTGTTTCGGAGAAAGAGTCATTGCATCAGCCTTAGTGTGCCTTTGCCCCCTCCAGATGGGGGCTGTCCCCACATCCGTCTTCATGTTTGTGGCGTGTATATGTGCATGCATGCATGTGCATGGGTGTGTGGGCATGCATGTGTGTATGTGTGTGTTTTCTCTCTATGAGACAGGATCATGAGACCCTCGAATCTAACGGCCTCATTTTACAGAAAAGGAGACTCAGCTTCATAAGTAACTTGCTCCAGGACACTGTGTCTTATTAAGCTATGTAACTTCCTCAGCCCCTAGCACACTTTTCAGCACATAATACATACAGAATAAATGCTTGGGGATGAATGAAAAAAACTTCATCCAACCTCCTCATTTAGCAAGGGGGGGGCCAGGGGGAGGAGGTTGTGTGGTATAGCTGACAGCATCTAGAGCTTGGAGTCAGGAAGACCTGAAGTCATAACCTGCGCCATCCCTTACTAAGCTGTGTGACCCTGAGCAAGTCACTTAATTTTTCTGTGTCTCAGTTTCCTCTTCTGTAAAATGGGGTTAATAATAGCACCCGCTTTACAGGTTGTGATGTGGTTGTGAGGATCAAATGGGGTAGTGGTTATAAAGTGCTTTGCAAAGGCTAAAGCACCACATTAAACGGTAGCTATTATTAATTTTAAGCGGTAGCAATGTGGCACGGTAGATAGAGCACTTGGCCTGGAGCCAAGAAGACCTGGGTTCAAATCTAGCCTCAGACACTTGCTGTGTGACCCTGGGCAAATAACTTAACTCTGTCTGCCTTGGTTCCCTCAAATGCAAGGTGGATCAAGGGGCATAATTTTTGTAAAGCCCTCAGCACAGTGCCCAGCACATAGTAGGTGGTATATAAATGTTATTGATGGTGATGATGATGAAACCAGGGGCCTGAGCAATGAAAGGAATTACCCAATGTCGCCTAATTGCAAAATGTGTAGGAAGAAAGGTATACGGGGATGTTTCCAGGCTGCGTAGCTAACACTCTTCTCCCTACTCTTTGCCAGGGACCCTCCGTCCTGTCCGTCGAAGCTACTATGACCCAGCCTCAGCCCCTGGGAAAGGTGTGGTCTGGGAGTGGGAGAATGACAATGGTTCTTGGACCCCTTACGACATGGAGGTAGGCATCACCATCCAGCATGCCTATGAGAAGCAGCATCCCTGGATTGACCTCACCTCCATTGGCTTCTGCTACGTCATCGACTTTGGCACGATGAGTCAGATCAACAGGCAGACCCAGCGTAAGCGTCACGTCCGACACCGCCTTGACCTCATCTACCCCATGGTCACAGGCACGTTACCCAAGTCTCAGTCCTGGCCGGTCAGCCAGGGCGTGGCCAGCTCCCCCCCAGGCCCGCCGTGTTCCTGCCCACAGTGCCTCTTGGTGATGAGCGTCAAGGCAGCAGCCGGGGCCAATGGTGGCATGGGGTTGCTACCGCCCCTGCCTGCCCGGAAAAACATGCCTGCCACTAGTGGGACCAAGTTGGCCCCACCTCTGGGTGCTGGGATCAAGCCTGTTGATGGGATGGGCACCATTCGAGGCCCAGGGAAGACAATGACCTCACAAGTGAACCGGAGGCAGGCAGCTAGCACACCGGCCCTGCCCTCCTCAGCCTCCCCAGCCAGCCCCCCAGGGGCCACCGGCAAGAATGGGCGGGTAGCTCTGGCAACCCTGAACCGCACCAATCTGCAGCGTCTGGCCATCGCCCAGTCCAGAGTGCTAATTGCTTCTGGGTAGGTGTCTCCATTTCTTCCATGCTGAGGGAATCCGGCTGAAAGATCAAAGGGGTCCTTGAAGGAGTCATCTTGTAGAATGCTGGGGTGGGATAAGGGGGGTCAGGTCAACAGCTGATGCCACACACACTGGGAGGGAGAGGCGGATGGATACCTCCTGAGTCCAGACATCTCTCCACCCAAGGATTTTCACTGGTGTAGAAATTAACTTGAAGTGAGAATTGAGCTGAGGCCCTGTTCCACGTCTCTCGGGTGGTTGGTGGGAAGAACTTTGGATTTGGTGGCAAAGGCTCCTGTTGTAATTCCCAATATCCCTTTAAGCAAGTCAAACTGTCTTGAGGAGGCACACAGAGATAATGGCTAGTGTATTGCACTTAGAATCAGGAAGACCTGGGTTCAAATCCTGCCTTGGAAATTCACTTTCTTGGGCCTCGGTTTCCTCATCTCTAAGGTATTGGACTAGTTGATGGTCATGTTTCTTCAAAGCTCTAAGTCCTAGAAAGTTATTTCTTCTTGGCTTGGTGAGCATCAGTATAAATGAATAGATAAGGGAGTCGTGCCTGAGGATGTTATCTGGTAAGGGTGGGGGATCTGCTCCCCATTCTTTAATTCATCCCTTCGTTGTATCCCTTCAGCTCCAAGTCTGTGATCCTATGACCTCCCCAACCTCTTCTTTCCTTTTGGGGAACCCCAGCTCTGTCTCTGGTCCTTGGCTGACCCAAGTGATTAGGGTGACTTTGGGCCCATGAGGACCTGTTATCAATACAGACTCAACCGGTTCAGTACCTACTGTGCTCTGAGCCCTGGGAACCAAAGCTGAAAATGAAAGCCTCCCTACCCTGAAGGAGAGACCTGAGGATGACACTGCCTTCAGCTAGATTTCTGTGCCTGGGAACATGGTACTACCTACAATGGAATCATAGAATCTTAAACCACAAGGATTGGAGGGGACCTTTACCCTCATCATAAAGATAGGGAGCCTCTGAGTTGGCCAACCTCCTCGGGGAGACAGAAGGCCGGCGTCACTCCTTCCATCCCATCTCTGGACATGCTCATCACCAGTCATTAAAGGTTTCCAACCAAGGCCCGTAGGCCACTTGTGGCATCAAGTCTCAGATGTCCCTGGGCATTCCTGGTGCCCCTTGAAAACGCCAGCAAACCCCAATGATATAAAGGGGGGGGTGGGGAGCCCAGAATCCCTTTGAATCCTAATGGGTGAGTTGATTGTTCATTCTCTCTTCCCCCTCTCCTCTTCTTTAGATGCCAATAGAATTGGAGGCAAGGAGTAGGGGTGGGCGGGGTGGGCAGTGGTGTATCAAAAGGACTATAGAAAGTAGTTTCTTTCCCCTTTATACTGTTGCCTTGACAAGAGAGGCCTCTGCCTACCCTTCCATATCTCTCAGTCCTTTCCTTTTTCATTCTTCCTCCAGGCTTCCCTCCCCTGCCCCCCACCCCAAAACCCATCTTCCCTCAGCCCTTTCTTGGCCACTTAATTAGCGTGTTATCCCCCTTTGTCTGACTTTGCCATCGGCCTTCTGTCGGAGCTCACCCCTTTTCCCCCTCCCCTCTGCCCATGACCTCTTCAAGCAACTTTCCCACGGAAAAAAGAGGGGATGGGCAGGAGGAATGGGATAGAGAAGGTTTGGGGGTTGGGGGGTACAAAAGACCCTGTGAATTATTCAGTGAGACAAGCGGGGGCAGGGGGGTTGGTTCTTAAGAGTAGAAGCGGGGAGTGGCATGTATGCTGGGAGGGCGGGCCCGTCTCTCTGTGTGTCTCCTCTAGATTAGTGATTTCTCTATCTCCAGCTAGGCCTCAGTTACCGTAGAGACAGACCATTGTCCAGCTCTGGGGATTCCTGGGCTGGTGTGTTTATCTCCGTGAAAACCCCTGCTTCTCACCATGGTTTCTACAGAGATGTCTCCCCGCCCCGCCCCTCTCCCCCTAACCCTATCCCAGTCTTTTCATTTTCTCAGTCATATAGATCAACTCCTTTGGGTTTATGAGATGCCCTCCCCCAATTTAGAGAAAGCCAAACAGCTAAGGAGTATTATGATTGGCTGACATGAATGGGGCAGGCTGGACTAAGTGGGGTTGCCTGGCGGCTGTGATGGATTATGGCGCCTTCATAGCAACACTCTGCCTGCCTCTGTTCTGCCTCTGCCTCTTCTCAAAGGGATGGACTTAATGTGAACAGCCTGGGCCCTGCAGAAGGTGTGGCCAATGTGGACCTTGGCACTGACTGGGTCCTTCAGGGAGCTCCGCATTTTACATTTTGGTTTTCTGTAAGGCTGGGGCTTGATAAGAGAAATACAGGCCTGACACTGATACAGGGACCGATAGCCACACCCTCGCATATGACTTTTGTCCTCAGGAGATCTGACAGTTATAATTATCACCCTGGGTTCCCCTGGGGCTTGACTTTCTCCCATTGGCCTTTGTCTCTGGTTTTTCCTAGTTCTTTAATCTTAGATGAGCAAGGGATATGGAAAGGAAGGACAGTTTTGGGGGGACTTCTGTTCCATTCTTTTTTTCTTTTCTTTTTTTTTTTTTGATTTTCAAAAAATTTTATTTATTTTTTTGTTTTTTTTTTCCCTTCTATTCCATTCTTAAGGAAGGAGTTGTTGGGTCCTTGAGGATAGAAGGAATCATGGGTGTTTATCAGAGTACAGCCATAGAGTTCCTGAGCTGGAGAGAATCTTAGAACATATCACACGGGGCATTAACAGTGAACTGAACTTAAGCCACAGGACAAAAAATGTCAGAGCTGGTACGTCAGAGCTTAGAACATAAAGTAGTAGCACTGGAAGTGATCTTAACAGTTATCAGTCAGAAGGCATTTACTAAGTGCTCAGATGCTTGAAATGGACAGGACCTCAGGTTAAGTGACTTAGAACAAAGAATGTCAGCGCTAGGAGAGACCTTAGAAGATGGAATGTCTGAGCTTGGGGGGACCTTGGAAATCACATAGTCTCATCTCCTCATTTTTTACATGGGGAAATGAAGATGACCCGGTAAGGGGAAGTTACTTTTCCAAGATCACTATTAGATGCTGGAGAAGCTAGCCCCCTGCCTCCCTCCCACCCCCCAACTGCTGGTCCAGCCCGATTTCTCCCTGAAGCCACCTCCAGCCTTGGTTGTCCCTTTACCCAGAGCACACGTCTCCTGGCAGACAGAAGGAATACTTACCTCCTCACGTGACTGTGTGTACATGTATGTTCTCTGGCTTTCCTATACCTGCTCATGTGAGCCTAGCTCCCCAGTTGGGACTGCTACATGCCTGTACTTTGCTGGTGTTTCCTGTTTGCCTGGGTCGGATAGGGAAACCTGCCAGTCCAGTTTATGGGAACAAAGGTGGTTTTTGTCACCCAAATCACTGTAACATATCAGCTGAGCTGGGGGCTTTCTTTTGGAGCTGCTTGGGAGAGCACAGATGCAATGCTGTCATCCCCTGATGGTGATCGCTGAAAATGTATCATGGAAGACACTTAAGAAGCATTTGGTTGGGGGGGGGGGGGTCGAACAGGTGCTGTTTTCAAAATCCCTGCCCCTTTGTTGGGAAAATCGTTCTTTAAGAGTCTAAAATCTCTGATCCTAAGTGGGGAGAAAACTCTCAGAGTAATATAGTGACTGAACTGAGCCAGTGGATTTTTTAAATAGGATTAGAGTTAGAAGTGATCTTAGAAATGACCTAACCAACCCTCTCATTTTTCGAGGCCCAGAAAAGAACCGCCCAATCAGGGTCACCCAGGCTGTAGAGAGTCACAAACTCCACTCCTTCCCCACTTCTGTGTGTGTAGGGGCCCTTCTCCTTGCTCTGATCTCACCCCAAGCTGCACCTTCTGAGTCCCATTCTGCACCTCTCCCCTTTCCCATCATCTCGTGGCCCAGATGTCACTTCTCTTCTGTCAGACCTTGCATGGGTTTTCTTCAGCTCCTCTTTGAGCCCAGCTGCCCCCACCAGGTGTGATTAGGGGATGGTTCTTGGTCCTGGTTTCTCTTTTCTGATGTGATCTTCCGATTCTAGAGCAAGCTTTGACCCTTTTCATTGGATCCCCACACCTGCATCCATCTTCTCTCAGTCTTAGGCTGGTAAATTGAGAACTGGAAGGGGCCCTAGTGGCTGCTGAAGCCAACCCCCTTATTTTAAAGATTAGTAAACTGAGGCACAAGTAGGTGAATGGGTATTGTCCTCAAAGAGGACAAAAATGATGTCACTGTGTCGGGGTCAAGGTCTAGTGTGTTCCACAGCCTGATCAGGCCGATGTGAGCTCGGAAGGCTCGGCCACAGTTTGGGCACAAATGGTCCATATGCACACGTGGCATGGAGATGTCTCTAAATTTGCAAACTCGAGTTTCCTTTGACTTCACACAGAGGTGAAGAGTCTGAGGCAGAATTTGAACCCAGGTTCAAACTCCAAGTCCAGGGCCCTGTCCACCACACCAGAAGCAATTGGTCAAAAGCCCCAGGTCTGGGCTTCTGTTCAACTAGTCTTAGAAAAAGGGTTGGGAGGATACCCCTCCCCCTGACCCACTACCAGCCACCGCCCATAATAAGCACCTGTCCCCTCAGGGCCCCAGGGGTGGGCGGGGCAGGTGGCTGGATAGCTCACTTTTCCTGTTTGCGTTTTATCACAGCTCATCTTCTGCCTGTTAAGATGGGCTCAGATCTTGTTTCACAAAACCTAGTAGTATCTAGGGGGTTGTTTTTTGAAATCAACCTGTGATTTCATTGGCATAGGGAATCCCCAATGAGCCAATTCCCTTGAACACTACAGATAGCAGCACCTTTTCTACATTTTTTAAGGAGTTGCCTGGATCACTGAGAAGTTACCAGTGTGACACAGCCCAGTATATGTTCAAAGAGGGGCTTGAACCTTATTTGGAGATATTCCTGATTCTGAGTTTTTCTGAGTGTTAAGAGAATCATGGTATTCATTTTATCCCACCAAGTATGTATGAAGCTAGGCATCATGGTAAGCACTAGAAATACAATGACCAAAAGGAAAACAGTCCCTTAGCCATTGTGTTCCACAGAGCTCTCCTGAGTCTGGAGAGCTAAGCATGGTTTTTACATTTGTAATTTCCTTTCTTAGCTTCTGGGATTGTACCAAAACTGGAAGCAGGTTGAATTTGGCCCAGAAACAGCCCCAATCCAGTCCAATCCCATCTGCAGATGAGGAAATAGAGCCCCAGATAAAGGAAGTCACTTCCCTAAGTCCACACAGGTCAGGGATGCCAGTGAAGAGAAGGGGGAACTCCTCTTGGACTGAGGATTCTTGATCGTAAAGGACACACACACACAGAGAACAGATAATAATATACGTGTTCCTCCCTTGCACAGTGTCCCCACTGTCCCAGTGAAGAACCTCAATGGGTCCAGTCCTGTGAATCCTGCCTTAGCAGGTAAGAGGGGCCCCTTGGCTGTGCCCCAATATCAGCAGCTGCTTGGCACACAGATAAGGGGAGGGAAGTGGTACCAAAAGGGACACTTTTCTACTTCAGCTTTTTTCTTCCTTTTACTTAAAAGTTTTACCATTGTTTTGGGGTTTTATACAACTGATGTTTCCATAATTAACTCTCCATCCCACCCACCCCCCAAACACACACATACACACACACACACACACACACACACACACACACACACACACACACAAACAATGAGCCTTCTCTTTTAACAAAGAAAAACAGTCAATCACAAGCCAAACCAGTATAGCAGCCACGTCCAATAGGGTATGCAACATTCCACAGCCGTAGTTCCCTGCTTCCAGTGAAGGAGGGTTGGGGCACCTCCTCATTTCTTCTCCAGGGCCCAGATTGGCCATGGTAGTAATACTGCATCCATTTTCCTTTTGTCATTTGTTTTATGTTTCTTCCTGTTCGTCATTGTGTCGTTGTGTGTATTCTACTGCTTCTGTTTGCTTTCCTCCCTGTACAATCATACCTATATTCCCATGTGTCTCTTCCTTCCTCATAGCTGTCATTACTTGGGGTGAAATAGCATGTCATTCCATGAATGCACCACAGTGTGTCCAGCTATCCCCCAATTGATGGGTGCACACACCACGTTTCCAGTTCTTTGCTCCCATAAAAGGTGCTGCCCTAATTATTTTGGCATCAACGGGACTTTTCTGACTTTGAATTTCCTGGGATATATAATACCTTTACTATGACTTTATAAATGCACATGTTCTTAATGCCAGAAAACAGGGCCTCTCCACAGTCTGTGGTCATTTGTTTTGTGATCTTTCAAGGCCCATGTATTGGAAGGCCTTCATTGAACAATGATGTGGGAGAGATACAATTGTCAACTTTTGCCTAGGAAGCAGACATGGCTTATTCTGGCTCTGTTTGAGCATGGCAGGTGGGACTTGGAGCAAAGGAAATAAAGGGGACGGTTTTGTTTTTTGTTTTTGTCAGAGAGAGACAATTTGAATGTCCTTTGGTAACAAAAGGGGAATTTGAGGAGGGGGAATGAGCAGGGTAATGCTTGAGAGAATCCAGAAAAAGAGGAGTAGAGGTTGGGGTCAGGGGTGAGTTACTGAATCCTAGGAGGCTGGGAGGGAAGGGAATAGGGCATCCTCATGGATTCTTCATCTGTTGCCCTTTTCCTGCTTCCCTTTCAGGAATCACAGGAATCCTCATGAGCGCTGCAGGATTGCCTGTGTGCCTCACCCGGCCACCTAAGCTGGTCCTGCACCCTCCTCCTGTCAGCAAGAGTGAAATCAAGTCTATCCCGGGGGTCTCCAACACAAGCCGCAAGACCACAAAAAAACAAGCCAAGAAAGGTACCTCCTCCCAGCTTCACTGGGGATGGGGGAGGTCAGAAGAGCTGGGTTCAAGGCCCAAGTCTGCCATTAACTAACTGTGTGTCCTTGGGCAAGTCACTTCCTCTTTTTGGGTGTCAGATTCCTTGTCTGAAAAATGTAGGATTAGACCAGATGATCTGGTCCTTTTCCCAGTGCTGCTATCTTATGTTCTGAGGGTCTGTTCATATCTTTCATTTTGTGTTGTAAGGACTCTCCTGTCTCTGACCTGCTGGACTCCAAGGGCCTCCCAGCTCTGACATTTCTATGTTCTAAGTGCCCTCCCAACTCACAGTCTGTGTTCTAAGGACCTTCCTACTCTACATTCTGTGTTCTAAGCTCCCTCTCAACTCTGACATTCCATGTTCTAAGAACCCCCAACTCTGACAGTCTATGTTCTAAGGGCCCTCCCAGCTCGGACATTCCATGGTCTAAGGGCCCTCCCAGCTCGGACATTCTGTGTTCCTAGGTTGCTCTACATATGAGATTCACTGATTGTGTGACTTCCATTCTTTGGACATCAGATTCCTCTTCCATCCACTGTTACTCATCCTACATACCTTCTGGGTATCCATGTGGATCAAGTAGAGAAAATGTAAACAGAAGTACTCTGAAACCTAGAAAGCACAAGACCGCCATGAGAGAGTCTCCCTCTTCTTGTGACCCAGGTGTGGCCAGGAGAGGGCTGTGTCTCCAGCCCAGCCCCTCAGCTGATATGTCTCCTCAGATTCCTGTCCCTTGTCCCGTCTCTTCAGATGGGAGCCCTCCTGACAGCATGAAGACATTTTTCTGATGCATTGTGGTGTCATGGAAGGAAGCCTGGCCTGGAAGCCAGGAGGCCCGGGGCTCAGTCCCCAATTCTTCCACCTAACTCACTGCATGATCTTGGATAAATCATTAACCGTACCTTCACTTCCTCCCTCTGTAAAATGAAGGCATTAGACGAGGTGACTTTTCCAGTGTCTTCCATTTCTGACATCCATAAAGGAATCTTCCTCCCCCATTGCCTTTTCCCCCAGTGCTCCATGCTTTGATCCAAGGCTTCTGACTCCCTCTTACTGCAGGGCCACTAAGATTCTAAGGCAGGACTCAGTGGCCTCTGAGATTCTTTCTAGCTCTTAGTCTAATAACTATGTGTGTGTACATGTGTGTGTGTGTGTTGTGTGTGTGTGCACGTGTGTAGATTTTATCCCCTTTCTAGACTGTGAGGTCCATGAGGCCTGGGACCTGTTTTACCTGCACTTTACTCCTCCCCTGGTACTACTCTATGCTCAGAGGATACTTAATAAATGTTGGGCATAGGTGTCCTTGTCATCATTGTCCCTGCCATGACCTCCTCTCATATCCTTATCCCTACAGGGAAGACTCCAGAAGAAGTTCTGAAAAAGTACCTGCAGAAAGTGCGCCACCCCCCAGATGAGGTGAGTTGCCAGTGGGCTCATGGCATGGCCAGTTTAGGCTTCAGGTGCTCATCTCTATCCCCTGCACTGTTAAATGGTTTGGTGGTCACCAGGGTTCACCAAAATAACCTCCTTAAGGCATGTGTCCAACCATGTTACTCCTCCTCTCAAAGACCTTTAATAGCCTCCTCTTGCCTCTAGAGTATATTAGAAAGACCATGGGTTCTTCACCTTGTTTGTGTCATGAACCCCTTTGACGGGCTGGTGAAGTCTATGAACCCTTTCTGAGAAAAATTTTTTTAGATGCATAAAATAAAATACGTAAGATTACATTAAAATACAGTTTTCAAAATATATACACATATGTATAACTCATGTGTGTGTATATAAATATACCTGCATGCACACATGAACATATATATATGTTCATACATGCATACATATACACATGCGTAAACATGCAAGGTCACAGACCCCAGGTTAAGACCCCCTGCCCTAGTTTGTCATTTAAGGTCCTTCCACAGTCAGGATCCAGTCTCAGCCCTGCCACTTTCTGTCCTCCCTGCAGAGGGAGGGCCAGTCCTCTGACTTCCTTGGGCTTCAAATTCCCCATCTGTAAAGTGGGTGGTAGGAGTCGGGGTTGGTCTGGATGACCTTTAAGGTCCCTTCCAACTCTGAATCTTATGAAACTTGAGTTGAAGTCCAAGCCCTGGTACTGAGGAGCAGCGTGACCTCGGGTAAGTCTCTTCCCTGCTGTGGGTTTCCATTTTCCTCTCTGTGATGCTTGTGATCTGAAAAGCCCTCTTCCTTCATGTGGCCCCCACAGGATTGCACCATTTGCATGGAACGCCTTGCAGCACCATCGGGTTATAAGGGCCCCCAGCCAACAGTCAAGCCAGACCTGGTGGGGAAGCTGTCCAAGTGTGGTCACATCTATCACCTGCATTGCCTGGTTGCCATGTACAATAATGGGAACAAGGTATGTGTTGGGGTCAGCTTGTCTGAGTGGGGTCCAAGCTCACCTGCTCCCTCTGAGACCCTTAGGAAAAAGATGAGGTGTGTTGGCAGCTTGGATGCCATCATGGTCAGATCTAAGACTTTCCGTGTTGTTCATTTCTGTATAACACCTTTTGGAAAGGGCATTGAAAAACTAGGGGATGTCCAGAGGTGGTTAGCCAGGATAATGAAGGGCTTCAGCGCCATGCCATATGCACATCAGCTAAAGGGTATTTAGCCTGAAGAGAAAGAAGTCTCAGAGTCAGGATATGATAGCTCTGTTCATGTATTTGAAGGGCCATCATGCAGAAGAGGTATTAGACTCTCTCCACATGGCCCTAGAGGCAGAAGTAGGAGCCATGAATGGAAGTGGATAGAGGCCAACTTGGATTTGATGTCAGGAAGAACCTCCCCACCATTAGAGCAATCCCAAAGTGGAATGGGAGTCCTGAGGAGGGAGGGAATTTCTCCTTGCTGGAAGGCTTCGGTCAAAGTGGGTGACTCTTCTTTGGGTATTTTGTAGAAGGGAATTGTTGGTTAGATACTGGCTAGATAAGATGCTAGCTGAAGTTCCTTACAACCTGGAGATTCTGGGATTCCCTGATGTCTGAAAACGGAAAAATCGGTATAGGCCGAAGGAATTTCTAGGGGCCTTGAAGTAGAGGTGTGCCTTAAGCTGATTCTGTGGCCAAGAGTCTGTGACCCCCAGCTCAAGGCCTGCTTGGAATTGGCAGAATTGTTAAGCTGGCCAACTTTGGCATTAGCAGCATCATCTTTGGGCTTTTGGACCCTGTTATATCTGCCTGTGTCTGTCTTGTTCCTTAAAAAAAACTATAATCTCCTCACAGGATGTCACTTGCATGGCTCACAGCACCTAGTACAGTCCTAGGCTCATAATCAAGACTAAAATAAGCAGCGCCTTAGTGCTTTATGCCCTTTGAAGGACTTTCTGATGAGGCAGATCAATTCATGTTGCAGGAGACGAAGCAGGTGCAGAGTGAAGGGAGTCTCTTCATGGGCACATAGTAATTGGCATGGCTGGGGAACTTGAACTGCAGTCTCTTTTTACAGATTCAGAGAATGTCAGAGCTGCATGGAACCTTAGAACATTAAATGTCAGATCTGTGAGTAACCTTAGAGTATAGAATGTCAGAACTGGAGGGGAGACCCCTAGAACTTAGAATTTTAGAGCTAAGTGGAACCTTAGAACATAGAATGCCATATCTGGAAGGAGCCTTACAGTCTAGAATGTCAGAGCTGCAAGGGATCTTAGAACACAGAGCACAGAATGTCAAAGCTGAGCAAAACTTGAGAGCTCACATAATTTGAAAATCAGCTGGGACCACCTCAGCAGCCTTAGTCTAATCCACATGAAAAAAGACTGAAATGTACTCTACAGGCAGCATCAGAGCCAGAAGGGACCTTAGAACACAGAACATGGAATGTTAGAGCTGGAAGCAGCTTCTACACACAAAATATTAGAACTAAATATAAATAAAATATCAGAGCTCAGAGGGACCTCAAAAGTAATAGAGTCCAACACTGTTATTTTGCAGTTGAGGATGCTGAACCCCCAAAATGAGAAATGACCTGTCCTGGGTCACATGGCCGGTGAGCAGCGAAGTGACCGCTAGAACCCAGCTCTTTCCTGACCACATCCTCTTAGGCTGGATTATGCCACTTCTTCAGGAAAAATGGGCCTGGGTGAGGGCTAAGAGGTCTGCTCTGAGCTTGAGCTGCCTTCATATTGTCCTTGGCCTCATCCTTATCTCTTTGGAGATTTTATCCAAGTCTGTCTGCTCATGTCAACTGTTTCTGTCCCTTGCTTCCTTTACAGGATGGAAGTTTGCAGTGTCCAACCTGCAAAACCATTTATGGTGTCAAGACAGGGACCCAGCCCCCTGGGAAGATGGAGTACCACCTCATCCCCCACTCCCTGCCTGGGCACCCAGACTGTAAAACCATCCGGATAATCTACAATATCCCCCCAGGGATTCAGGTGACCCCCCAATGGGCCCTTTGCCTCTGGCAAGCCTCCAAGTCTTTCATTGCTGTTGGTTTGGTTTGAAAAGTGCTCAGGTGCTAAATGGGTAGCCTTTCTCCTATAATAATAATGACAGCAACAGAAACACGTTTCTATAGTGCTTCCTTTTCAACCATAAAAAGGATTTTCCTTTCAACGGCCCTAGAAGGTAGGGAGTCCAAACGCTATTAGTGCCATTTTACAGATAAGGAAGCCAAAGGCTTGGAGAAGGGAAAACTACTTACCCACTCAATTTTACACAACTCGTAAGTGTCAGACCTGGCATTTGACAAGCTGTACCAGTCCACCAAGTGTTTACCAGCCTCAGGAGCTTTTTTTTCTGGTTCCAAGGACCCTAGCAGATGTATTGATAGTCCTTAAAAAAAATGGGCACGTAGTAATTGGTAAGTCCAAGGAACTTGAGCTGCAGTCTCTTTTTACAGACTCAGAATGTCAGGGAATGTCAAGGCTTAGGACATGGAATGTCAGAGCTGGGTGGAACCTTAAAACATGGAATGTCAAATCTGACAGGAGGCTTAGAACATGGAATGTCAGGGTTGAGTGGAACCTTAGAGCATGGGATGTCAAATCTGACAGGTGGCTTAGAACACAGAATATCAGATCTGGCAGAGGGCTTAGAACATGGGATGTCAGAGCCAGGTGGAACCTTAGAACACAGACTGTTAGATCTGATCAGAATTGCTGCTGGTAACCTGGTGTACCCATCTGCCTCTCCTTCTTGTACTGATGGGGTTGAATATTGGCTGAGGTGAATTGAAAATGTCGGAGGTTGGGTGTTTTTTTGGAGTCAAATGCTTTGAAAACCACTCTTTACGTTTCTTTTACTCCCTCAGGGACCAGAACACCCGAATCCTGGGAAGAGCTTCACCGCCCGAGGCTTCCCTCGACATTGTTACCTCCCAGATAGTGAGAAAGGGAGGAAGGTGAGAATTTTTAACGAGGGTCAAGGACTTTATTTCTAACTTGGAATGCTGAGCTTTGCTTCTTAGCAAATGTAGAACGAAGAGGACTGGGGTCATCCCTGGCCTATTCTCTCTGGTCAAGAGATAATATTGACCTGGAAGTGATAGATAGCCGGAGGAGTCCTTTGGTCAGAGAGAATGTGTTCCTCCCTCCTCAGTCGGGATCCTGATAGGAATTGGACCCTCTTCTCCCCGGGGCTTCCCAGGCTATGTCTTGCTCTGTGGGGGCATTTTGCTTCCCTTCACCCTGGCTGACATATGTTTAGTCTTAACTGACTGTAATGTGATTAGTCTTAAACAGACATTCTTAACCTGGGGTCTGTGACTCCATGAACTCTTTAAAAATTTTTTAAAAAATTTTACTATTTGGATAACTGTATTTCAATATTATTGGTTTCCTTTGAACTCTTATGCATTTTTAAAACATTGTCCTGAGAGAAGGGTCCGGAACATTAAAAAATAATGGAGAACCATCATGCTAAAGAGAGAAGGTGGAGCTGACGTTCAGGAGAGGGACAGGCTGGCCAGGAGTCTCGAGCCCAGGAGTTTAGCTGAGTCCCTCCCCCTAACTCAGGACAAGTCCATTCGCCTTCCTAAAAGGCCTCAGTTTCTCATGTCAAATGAGGATAATAACACCTGTCCTCTTCATCTCACTGGGCTGTTGTGAGGATTAAATACAATAATTAATGTGGGAATGATTTGAAAACCCTGGCACATTACACACGGGAGCTCTTATTAACTGAATGAAAAGCAGTGGGTCTGGTTGGGTTGTGGCTAAGTTAATTATGAGGAGGTTTATCTCTCCACGTGAGCATGGCTGCACCACTCAAGACACCCTTAAATTATAAGCCTACTTGGGGCTATGACCATGTCTGATCTTTGATAATAATGATAATAACAACAACCTACATTTATAGAACATTTTACAAAGAGTTTTCACATCCATTATCTCATTTAGTTTTTACAACAGCCCTGGAAGGTAGGTAGTGTGTGTCTCATTATTCCTGTTTTCCAGACAATGGCAGGTGCTTCCATGTTTTAGAGGAGGAAAGTGGGGCTTGAGAAGTGAAGGTGACAGTCAGGACTCCAATCCGGCCTTCCTGACTCTTCAGGCTGGGACTGTACAGTAGTACTAGGGCCGGGCTGAGGAGGGGGCTCAGGCTGCCAGATCCCACCACTCCCTCCCTTGTCATCTAGGACCGTTCTAGAACCAGACACATGATACAGCCTTGTTGGCTGACCCCTGTGGGGAGCCAGAGGTGCTTCTACAGTAGGGAAATAAATCAACAAATGAATCAATGAATGAAAAAGCATTTATTAAACATTTAGTATGTGCCAAGCTCAAGATACAAAGAATTAATTTATACCCTCAAGGAATTTGAATTCTATACCACATGGAGGAGAACGTGGCCAGGGAAGGGAACTGTGGTCTAAGAAATTATAAGGATACCAAGTGGAGCCAGAGGACAGTTAATGGCAGACCCTTTCCTGATACAAAGTAGGGGGAGGGGCTCAAGGAGGGAAGGGTCCACATTAGCATCAGGGCAGCTGGTAAGATGGTCTACTTCGAACAGCAGGCATTATTTCCTAGACTGAGGTCTAGGCCTTTGAAGCCTAAAAATGCTGCTTCGGTTTCAGAACATCAGAGTACATGGGGTTTTAGGCCATGTCTGCAGGACAGATTTGCTTTCCACAATTTATTCATTTCTGTCCCTGAACCCCAATTGCTCATCTGTAAAATGAAGAGGCCAAGTTTAATGGTCTCTGGTACTGTTTCCAGCTCAGACATTCTGTGTTTTGAAGTCCCTTCTGGCTTTGAAGCCACAGAGGCTCCATTCCAAGATCCCTTCCAGCTCTAGAACTCTGTTGTTGATTCTTCCCTCCCAGTTCTGACATTCCATGTTCCAAAAGTCCAATCTCGCTCTGGTTTTCCATGTTATCTGTTCAAAAGCAGCTTGGTGGTGCAGTAGATAGAGGGCTGGATCTGGACTCAGGAAGACCCGAGTTCCTCTCCAGCCTCAGACGCTTCCTAGCTATATAACCCTGGGCAAATCACTTAACTTCTCTCTGCCTTAGTTTCACCAACTGTAAAATGAGGATAATAATGGCACCTACCTCTCAAGGTTATGAGGATCAAACGAGATGATCTTATTAAATGCTTACTATATATACCAGGCACTGTATTAAACACAGTGCCTGGTACACAGTAGGCATTTAATAGATGCTCATTTCCTTCTCATTTCATTTCTGATTGTGAGTCTACAAAGAGAATGTTCTGAAAGGCTTGAGTGGAGAAGAAGAGACACTACACTGGTGTTGATGAGAAAACAAGGCAAGGGTGAGCCCTGGAAGGTTTCATGATCAAGAGAGGCGGAGTTCAAAGTGGAATGGCAGGCTTAGGATGCCTCCTAGCCATGACTCTGGATGCTGAGGAAGAACAGTTTAGAGCCTTGAGTCTGCGTCTGAATGTCTGTCTGACTTTGCGTCCACGGCTCTTCTTCCCTCTGTCATCCTTCCCAGGTGCTGAAGTTGTTGCTGGTAGCCTGGGATCGGCGACTGATCTTTGCCGTGGGCACCTCCAGCACCACAGGCGAGTCTGACACTGTCATCTGGAACGAAGTCCACCACAAGACGGAGTTTGGCTCCAACCTCACGGGCCATGGCTACCCAGATGCCAATTACCTGGACAACGTGCTAGCCGAGCTGGCCGCCCAGGGCATCGCGGAGGACAGCGCTGTCCTCGAGAAGGACTGATAGTGAAGGAAGCATGGCAGGGGGAGGGCCGGCCGAACACCCCGGGGCGGGAAGTCGAGGGAGTGTCCCTCTCCCCTTGCTTCACCTTCCACCCTTGCAGGTGACAGCCCTGTTTATAGGCTATGTCATTCATAAACCTCATCAGATACAAGAGGGAACATGGGACAGAGAATCCCACTCATCATGTCCTCCGTGAGACTATAGTCCTGGGGAGGGCAAGGAATCCCCCTAGTGGGGAACTTGGCCAGCACACTGGCTAAAAGAGGTGTGGCGATCACTCCACACCCTGGGCCTTGTGAAGCTCGATGCTCCATCCTCTTGGAGTCTGTCCTTGGTGTTTACACTCTGCTTCAAGAGCAGAGTTTCGGCTCCCTCTTCTTTTAAGGGAAGGGAGCAAGGGCCCTCACTGTGCAGGGTGGGTGGGAGGGAGGGGCTGAACCGGTTAAATCGCTGTGACATTGAATGCCTTGGCCAATGTGGGGTCAGAATGATTGCTCTTGATGAGGAGGGAGGCTTTTGCAAAAGCCTCTGGGAGCATCACCATAACCTGCTCCCTCCAACTTCTCAAATGAGGCCATGGGTTCTCTATGGCTGATGGCCTCTGGGGTTTCTTCTCTGGGCTGGTCACTTCAGCCTCTGCTTCATCAACTGGAATTGAGCCTGAGTCTGCTCTGTCCAGAGTCGTTCAGGTTTCCACCCAAGACCCTCCATTCTCTTGCCCTCTTCCAGGTCCGTCCTAGCCAGCATCTGAGCTGTGCTCAGGGAAAGAAGGCCTTTCCAACCTTTTTCCCTCCTGACTCATGTCAGCCCAGCCAAATAGAGACCTGGTTCCCTTAAGTTCATATGTTCACTGTGAGTTGAGTCCATGCCAGACTCTGTCCCATCTGTGTACGTGCCATAGAGCACATTCCTTATCTCCATGCATCACCCATCTGCTCCCCTCCCCCCACCCCTTTTTTGAGCTGGTATCATCCCCAGTCCCAGTTTTTCCATGTGTACCTAGCCCATTTGAACTGGGATCCGAACAGAATCGACTCACTTGCCCATCATTTTCTCTCAGCTCTTAAGCAGCCCACAGTGAAACTGGGATGTGGTTTGTTCCAGCCTGTGAAAGGACCAAGTGGAAAGAGGGAGGCTAAGGAAGAAGAATGAGAGTGCATAGATCATCATCTCTTAAACAATCACCAGACAAGATCAGAACCATGGACAGCTCTTCACTGTCCCACTCTAGGCCTCCTGTCTGTCCCCTCCTACCCAGAAGAGATTTAGAGGTAGAAGAGACCACGGAGGCCATCTGTTCTGTTCCCTTCTTTTACAGATGAGGAAACTGAGGCCCAGAGAAGTGAAAGGATTTGCTTAACGTCCCACAGATAGTAATTAGAACTGAGAATGAACCCAAGTCTTCTGACTTCAAATGTTGTGTTCTTTCTACACACCAGGCTGCCTCTATTAAAAATTTTGCCTGGCAGTAGAGAAGTGGAGACCCCCATGTTCTGGATCTATTTCAGCCTAGGTTAGAACCTAGCTGGGTTCTTAACTGATTCCCAAGTGGTATAGACCCCCACCCCACTCACATCTGGTCTAGCCTGTGTCTGAGCGGTGTCATTGGGGGAGGGGGTTTCCTTTGGCTCAAACTTCTCTTTTGCTATCTGCTCCCAATGGGGGAGGAATTAGGGTTCAGAGAGGAGAGAAGGGGAAACTATAGTTCCCTTTCGAAGAAGATGGGTTCTTTGAACTGTGTGTATGGGGGAGATTTCCCCCGGATATGGATTTGAATTTGTATGCCTCGTGTTTGGGGGGCCTGACGTATATATGTACATATATTTCATAATGTTTGGAAGGTTTTTGATGGTACTTCAATAAGGACTGGAGGCCAGCCCTATGGGCTGCTTGTGGAAAACCCGTTTTGAAATTATGATGGCCAAGGGCTCCATAACCTAATTTCCACCCAACTGAAAAAGAAAAAGCTGGTGCAGTGTTCTAGAACCCGTTTCAAGTTGCTGCCAACAGTGGAAGGTAGTTGGAAAACAACCAGTGACTTCCTCTGGAGGGAACCACGATGGAAATCTCTGGTCCCTTCATGGAATGAGCCGCCATTTTGTTTTTCATTGGTTTTGTTCTTCCCATGAAAGGCTCGTCATTCGCTCTTACTAGTGAATGGGCGATCAGACAGCCACACTCACTGCAGACTTTGAAATTTCTCCCACCTTCCTTCCCACCTTTTCTCTCCTCAAGATTAGAGCCATGAAAACAGTGGCCCTTCATCTGGGTCATCGAACACTAGTCCCCAGTCCCTCCACAGTATTATGAAAGGGAGAGCTAGCAGTGCCTTTCCTGTGGAGATTCGGACCCTGTGTTTTAGTGGAACTTGCTTATGCCGACCATATTTTTTCCAGACTCCAGATTGAAACACATGATGTGGCAGAAGGTACTCCTCAGAAGTTGGCTTTCATTTTTCCTGACACAGGACTGTGGTGCTGTCACACACCTGGTGCCAGGCACTCTTGCTTGTCACCCTTGTTAATTCTCTGGGCTTGTCAATAGTGGAGAGGTTGGGGAACCAGCAAAGTTGGAATGAAAGGAGCAGAAATTAAAGGAGGGAAGGAAGGGTTGTTGACCCGTGGGAAATGAGTATGAAAGAAGAATAAAGTGAGCAGTTGGACTGAGGCCCAGGCCAGGGACAAGGAAGATTAGGATGGGCAGCATAAGCCACAAGAGAATGAGAGCCCAGGGAATTCATCAAGGTTGGTCAGCTTACTCTGGTTAATATCCCTTGGGTTGTCTTGGGCAGTTAGGGTTCAAGCCAGCCTCCTTTTCCATAAGATATCCAAGCTGTGTCTATGTTCCATTTTCTCTGCCTTTTTAAGGATATGAATGGGGGGTATGTCATCTACCCGAGCCCACCTCCTTCAGCTTATAGCATTCAGAGTATTCATTGGGCCCTAAAGGTTCACAGGAGCATAGATTCTGAACCGGGAGGGACTTTGGAGATCACTGAGTCCAACCGTCCCATTTTATAGATGAGGAGACGAATGTCCAGAATGCTGAGATTATTTCCCCAAGGTCACATAGATAGTAAGTGGCAGACTCCTGTCCCTAGCACCCACACTGCTAAATTTTCCCTTCTTCACTGTGCCAGCTGGGAGGGGGGGTATTTCTCAGCTCCTTTGCCTTTGCCAAACAAGAAAGGTACGGGCTCCTAAAAGTGCACCCTGTGGCCTGTAGTCCAAATGTTTTGTCAGTGGGCTTACCCCCCACTGGCACAGGGAAGTCTTTAAAGGTCCCATCCTTTAACCTGGTCATGTTGCTCAGGAGCTTCCTGACTGTACCCTCTGCAAAAGCTAACGAGAAAGATACAAGAACTCTGGTCCCATGAGGCCTTTGGCAAATGCCTTGCCTGCCCAATGGGCTTGGTCCCAGGCAGAGCTATCCTTCCCTGGAGGCCCTGCTGCATATCCATTGCCTGCCCAGGAGAGAGCTCTCATCCTGCCCCTCACCATCCCAGCACCAGCAATGACCTGGGCCCTGCCTTCAATCCGAGACCTCCTCTAGGCATGGTGAATGGGGTTGGAGGAACAGAAACAGTCCCTGCAAACCCCATCCCATGAATATGTAGGAGGAGTGTGTGTGTGAGTGGGTGAGTGTGCGTGTGTGGACATGTCTTTTCCTTTTCTTCTTTGCATAATTTGGAGTTGTCTGTGTTTTTATACTTGGTCAGGAACCTGTGGCATCCTGAGGTCCCACTGATGTGAGGAGCATGAGGGTAGGAGGGGAAGTGAGGTGGACAGGCTACTGGGACAGAGAAAGGTCCCCGCCTCCCACCTTTCTGTTGTCTTTGGAATTGATTTGGGGCTTTGGGGGGAGGTGGGAGGGAGTGGGCGAATGTCCTGGTGTATTATTGATTTGTTTGTTAAAAAAAAAGTGGTTGGGTTTTGTTTTGTTTTGTTTTGGGGGTTTTTTGGGGGGCTGTCTATGCTGTATTGCTCTGCTAAAGGACAGCGACACCTAGTGCCCATGGGGGTTGTGTGCAGAACAATAAAAGAATTCTCAATGTTACTCCCAGTAGTCTTGGTGTGTGGTCTGTACATTCTGTTGGTCTCTGCGGGTGTTAGCGCTTCTTTCTGGGGACAGCTAGGGTGGTTAGGGGAATCCCTTTCTGAGGGGACTAAGTTACCTGACGTACTGTCCCTACCACAATTAATGAACTGGCAGCAGAAAACAAGGAAATCGTTTGGTTCTTGGGGTTTTTCTCTCCCCAGTTTGCTTTCTACTCAGGGGTTCCTTGATTACCTCCTCCCTCCCTCCAGACTTTTTTCATTCAAGAATTACTCATTAAGAACTCTAGTACAGGAGTGGTCTGAAACAAATGCCAGATTGTATGGGCAAGCAAATTCAACTCCCCTTTTCGCTTATGTGCTAGTAACAGCTAGTATGTATACAGGGCTTTCAGGTTTGTAAAGTGCTTTGCAAGGTAGCTGGGTGCTGCAGTGCCTCAAACACTGGTCTTGAAGTCATGAAGACTCATCTTCATGAGTTCAGATACATGTATGATCTCATTTGATCCTCACAACACTTCCATGAGATAGGCACTAGTATTATTCCCATTTTGCAGATGAGGAAACTGAGGCTGAAAGACTAAATGACTTACCCAAGGCCATATAGCTAATAAATTTCTGAGTCAGAATTTGAACCCAGGTCTTCCCGATTCCCAGTCCAGCACTAATCAACGGTGCCATTTAGATAAAAGGAACTTTTCAATTCTCTCTGATTTCATTGCAAGCAGTTGTCAGATTCCCTACTAGCATATTCAGTGTGCTAATGTGCCAGGCACTGTGCTAAGTGCTTTATAAACAGCGCATGTCACTGGAGGGGGGCAGGGGAGGGAGGGACCAGGAGGGCAGGTAGCTCACTGGCCCAGGTTAGGAATGCAGGAATCTTCTCTGGAGGGACTCACTTTTTATATTCTTCCTTACTGCACTGCACTGTGCATTGAAGCCTCTTTCTCTCCCTTATCCTTTAAATGGTGGTCACTTTCCAGCCAGCTATAGGCCTGTGATCAGAACTCAGGGTACCCCCCAGAAGCTGTTACTGGGGCCTAGTTGAGATGCCAGGGAGAATGGCCTCTGCCTTCAGGTTTAAACTACACAAATGGCTGCATGCATGTGATCAGTCCTCCATAGACTGGATTCACATCATTCGGAAACAACCTGTTTTAATTCTTTCACCTGTGTAATTCTATTAGCTGGAATAATCTGTTCACCTCCTCCCTCCACCCATGGATCTTTATTTTAAAAAACCTTTTCCTCTCCTAGATATACTAAAATTATGCTGAAAGCCTTTGGTTACAATTTTTTTAATTCACCTCTAGGTTACTTTCACTCTTTCTTTTCAAGGAGCCTAAGATCACCCCCAGTATAATTGGCCTTCTAGGATGGCATGAGAAGGATTCAATTTCAGCAGACATTAAGAATCTGCTATATGATTGGACCTATGCCCAAAGGATATTGGGCAGGTGGGACAGGGGGGCCAGAATGACAGTGCCTGTCCTCAAGGAACTTCTCATTTGCTGGAAAGTTATGAGGTGTATGGGGTACAGAAGTCTATCCTGCCCTACAGGAAAATAGAAGGGGAAGGGGATAAGAGAAGAGGGGAGAGAAAGAAAAGAGGACAGACTAGGGGAAGGGATTCTCAGAATGCATGCCATCTTGGGGTGGGGAGAGGGTGAGACGGGTTGAAAATTTGGAACTCAAAAACTTGTGGAAATGAATGTTGAAAAGTACAAATAAATAAATTTATCTTAAAAAATTTTTTAAAAAAAGAAAAAAGGAAAAAAAGAAAGTTATGAGGTACACACAGAAAACATAATGCAAGATAGGAAGCGACAGAAACAAAGGGGAGAACCGTTCAAAGTACACCAGGAAAATGAGGTAGGGGTTATTTGGGAAGGCTTCATAGAAAGAGTGTGATATCTGAGCTACACTCTAAAGAAAGAGAATTTCAACAGGCAGAGATGAGGAGGAAAAGGATTCATTAGTAAACTCCTACCCTGCTTGTTCTAGACAGGAAAATGAGGGAGTGGAGGCCTAGTTCTACTGGCACCTGTGTGACCTTGTACGAGTCATATCATCTGCCTAGAATCTGATTTGGAGGAGGTGAGGATGATGGTGATGCAGATGATAATGATAAACAAGTTTCATTCTGGTGTGAAAACTTCCTTCCTTTTAATAATCCTATGTAATTGGTCGTGTGAGCATTTTTATTCCTGTTTTAAAGAGAAGGACTTGGAGGCTCAGAAAGATAAGGTTATTTGCCAAAGGTCACACAACTAATGATTTGGCAAAGGAGGGTCTGGAACCCAGGTTACACTACTATACTCTCTGCCCCATCCCAACCTCGGTCGGGAGGAAAAAAGATTTCCTGTAAATTCAGAGGTTAGCTCAGCTCTCAGTTACACAATCTAGGAAGCAACAGAAGCATAAATAATCTCAAACAGCAGATACTAAACATTGTGTTTGAGGGAAATCATATGATTGAGAGTAGGGGATGGGGAAGAAAGGAAGCTGAAAATTCATCTTCTGAATTTTTTGGTGAGAAGGAGGGCAAAGTACAAATTGGACCCCATTCCCCAGATAACAGGGGTAGGGACTAGATCCATAATTTCATTGGTTTAGGGAACTCCCACATGAGGAAATTTCCCCTGCAAAAGCAGGTCAGCATCTCCTCTGAAAGCAAGTCTTAGAAAGTTGCCTGAGGCACTAAGAGGTTAAGTGACTTATCTAGGATCACACTGCCAGTATCTGTCAGAGTTGGGACTTGAACTCATCTTGCTGCTTCCAAAAGCAGCTTTCTATCCATTATGCACTCAACACTGATAAGACATACAAAGAAACCTTCATCTTAGAAAGACTTCAAGGCTTACAAAGAGCTGTCCTCTAGGAAGTATACTAGACTGAAATCAAGTGGCCCACTGGGGAAACAGGCCAATCAAGGCTGGAGTAAAATGCTGTCTGAGAATTTGACAGAGATACTCAAGAGACGATTGTACTCTGAAGGTGCTGAGCTACACTGGTTAAGGAAATTCCTCTTTAGGAGTTTGCTACACTAAATTATAGGGTCAGGTTTTTTAAAGCTAATGCTGAGTATTTCTTATCATTCCATTAAAAAAAAATAAAGTGAATAATGACTATTTACCGTAATTCTCTTTCTGCCTGAGAATAATGGAGCAGTGGTGACCAATCCATCAAAAATCATTTATTAAGTGTTTACTGCATACCAGGCACTGGGCTAAGTGAGGCAGACAAAAAGAGAGACTAAAACGCTACCTGCCTCAAAGGCCTTTCATTCTATTGTGGCAGACAGCATTCCATAACTAGGTACATACCAGATACACAGTAGATGGAAATACTCTGAGAAGGGAAGGCAGTGGAGGTAGGGGCAGAAAGGTATTCTGAAAAAAAATGTGATTTAGGCTGAGACATGAAGAAAGGCCAGGAAAGTAAGAGGCCAAGTACAGGAGAAGAACACTCCAAGCATGAGGGAAGCCAGTGCCAAGGCTCCATGGAGAGGGGACAAGGATGTTACACCAGGCTTTCTCAGCATGGTCTGCTGGGGTAGAGAGTGTGGAAGCTGTCCTTCCATCTACCCCATTCCTGCCAGCTAGATGGCTCCCCTCTCAGCCCAATTGTGTTCAAAGAAAGGCAGATATCCTGTTCAAAGGAGCACAAGGGAAAAATAGATTTGAGGGCAGTAGTGGGTGAGCCCTAAGAGCTAAATATCCTATTAAAGTGTCCGGTTTAGAAGGAACGTGGATAAAAACTGAATGGTTGTTGTGAGTGATGAGTCAGAATTCCTATTTCCCCTAGGGCAGCAGCATCTTTCCCATCAATCTATCCTCTTTCCTCTCCCGGTGCTCTCAGGATATCCTTGGAGTGGAAACATTTGGCAGTTGCACCACAAAATACCTCTGAGAACTTTATGGCCCCCTTGGAAGGACCACTATTGGTCTGAACCAGCTAATGCTGAATGAGGTTTTGTTTCTTTTTTTTAAGGAAGTACAGTTGGTAGTGGGCCGGGGAGGGACACTCCATGATAGCCCAGGGCTTTGTTAGTAGGACGTGTGCTGTTCCAGTGAAGTGAGTCCCCCAAAATAGAGACCCAGTCAATTTCTTGTTCTTCTGCTCACCAATTCACCATGTGTCCTTACACAGAATCCTCCTTACATGCCCTTATGCAGGGTGGGTGCTTCTCCCCACCTACCCCTTCTGACAGACTCTCTCATCGTCTCTCCCCTTCTGCCCCAGTATGAAATTGGTTTCCAGAAGCCTGAACTATGAGCTAATTCTTTCATTTAAAAACAAACAAACCAACAAACTTGAGAGGATGATGCTCCATGGAATCCATGATCACATTGGGAATTACTGGAGACAAGAATAAGTAACCTCACCCCTTCCTCCCCATAAGGCTATACAGCAAAATTTCAAAAGCTTTCCCAATTCCCCTTTCCCCTGTTTGCTTTGATGTCTGCAGGTGGAGACTGTCAGTCTCTGATTTTCAGTAACATTCCTTTTTCTTCCTCCTCCCCAACCCCTACTTCCTCAGAGTGTGTGTTTGTTGAATGACATTTTAATTTTGTTTTTCGGTTAATAAGCATTTATTTTCTCTCCCTCCCTCCTTCCTCCCCTGCATATTCTCATATATTTTAACATAGAACGTCAATGCTGAGGAGAATCCTAAAATGACAACAGTCCCAGTCAACTCCATGTTCTGACATTCTATATCCTCATATTCTATATTCTAAAGTCTCTTCTGGGTCTGATTCTCTATGTTGTGAGCCTGCCAGGGATGTGGAATGTTAATGAGATCATTTAGGCTTGAAACAAAGAGCACAGACTGTCAGAGAATAGAGCTAGAAGATCCTTTTCCCCCTTTGTTCTTTATTTGAGCTAAAAGAAGACAAAACATAAAATGTTACTCGTGGCACTTGGGGGAGCTTAGAAAATTAGAATCTAGATAATACTGTAGTCCAGCCCTCACCTCTCCATCTCAACCAGGAGGAA